TGGTTTTATGTCTTATCGATTCGGTTTATCAGTTTTTGGTTTTTAAATATGTTAAACCAATAATATATTTTTTATCGGTTTTGGTCCTTAACGGTTCGGTTTTCGGTTTAACCAATAAGAAAATATTTATAAAACAAATATATGACTTTTCTAATAAATTTGATGCGAAAACACAATAATATAACTTTACAAAGCTCATAAATAGAAACAATAATAACAAAGATGAAAAGAACTATACAAGCGTAACACAGAGAAATTAAGAGGAATATGGTTCTTACTTTAGATTTTAACGTTTTTATAATGTGAAATTGTGAACTCAAATCTATTGTGAAGTGTGAATTGAAGGATAAAGGACAAAGATAGTAACTACTAAGGTATTAAGATTAATATATAATATTTATGTACAAGTAAAAGTAGTAAATTACCAGTCTTAATGGGTTATTGGGTAATATTAAAAACCAATACCGAACCGATAACCCAATAGGGTCTAATTATACTGATATTCACACTCAGAAGTCCTCTCCAATTATAAAGATAACTTGATATCTGAGGTTTGAATTTAAAACATAATTAAATATAAAAGAAGAGTTATGTGCTCCACAAGTGAATGCTTATATAGTATAGTTAAATAAGAAAGTAGTGGTGGTAGTAATTAAGGAGTGTGATTCGGCTGGAAGTGGAGCTAGGCACATAAAGTTATTAAATTAAAGTATATATTTTGGGGTTTGGTAGGAAAATAAAAGCGTTTTCCTGCTCTTGAGGGATGTGAATGGCACGTGAAGATAGACGTTGCCCATAAACGTCCCAATTCAGTTAATTATTTGAGGATATATGATCAGCTTTTATTTATTTATTGGAACTATAATATAATAAAACAAGTAGAAATGCACTTGCCATCTTCCTTAGACCATCTCCGATCCATCTCTATTTTACTCTCCATTCTTTATACTTGGAGAGTAAAATAGAGAATGGGTTCTCCAATCACTCTCTATTTCACTCTCTATACTTCAATTATAGAGAGGTGAATAGTAGTTCTCCAAATTTGGAGAACTACTATTCACCTCTCTATAATTGAAGTATAGAGAGTGAAATAGAGAGTGATTGGAGAACCCATTCTCTATTTTACTCTCCAAGTATAAAGAATGGAGAGTAAAATAGAGATGGATCGGAGATGGTCTAAGGAAGATGGCAAGTGCATTTCTACTTGTTTTATTATATTATAGTTCCAATAAATAAATAAAAGCTGATCATATATCCTCAAATAATTAACTGAATTGGGACGTTTATGGGCAACGTCTATCTTCACGTGCCATTCACATCCCTCAAGAGCAGGAAAACGCTTTTATTTTCCTACCAAACCCCAAAATATATACTTTAATTTAATAACTTTATGTGCCTAGCTCCACTTCCAGCCGAATCACACTCCTTAATTACTACCACCACTACTTTCTTATTTAACTATACTATATAAGCATTCACTTGTGGAGCACATAACTCTTCTTTTATATTTAATTATGTTTTAAATTCAAACCTCAGATATCAAGTTATCTTTATAATTGGAGAGGACTTCTGAGTGTGAATATCAGTATAATTAGACCCCAATACAAATACTAAAGTCGAGGTAGTAAATAAAAAGGTCTATGCATAAATGTAAAGATGATTAAGTTGGTTGAGCAAATGACCTCCCATACACGTTGGAGTGTTTAGGTTTAAAATTTCTTGCATGCTTCCTAGTTTCAACTCGTCCAATCAGACTTGCTTAGTGGAGTATATCCTTTTGTGTGATTTGTAGACTATTACACAAGAGTTTGGATTAAAAAAATAATTTAATATAACCATACGAACAAGACACAATTTAGAAAGCGTAAGTAGGATGAAAATTAGCAGAAAACATGACGAACACATAGTTTTTATCGTTTAAAAAGGGGAGTAAAATATCTTATTTTTTATTTTTTTAAAGCAATGGATGGCAATAGAATCAAAGAGAGGGGGAAAGAAGATGAGAGAATAGAACAAGTTTGACCGGTCAACGGGATTAAAGAAGGCACTATCATAACTCCCTTTTACCCAAAAAAAAAATGGATTCCTTTTCGTTTGGCTTGTAACCACATTACATTACATTGGCAGTCTTCGAGGGAAAAAATAATTGACTCTCTCTTACACACTTACCATAACCACATGCAGACGCCTTTATCAATTTGTACTTCTACTTTCTTTATTTCACACAAAATACATTATTGTTTTAAGAAAATAGAAAAATACAAGTATTTTATGTTTAAGAGAAACTAATTAATAAATGCATAACATTTATATATGTGTATCTTTTAGTCATATGACTAATACATGACCTTATTTAATTTGGTGTAAACATGAAATGCGAGTATACACAACCACCAGAAAGCACTAAGAAGAGGAATATTCCTACATTACGTTTAATGAAGCAGCTGAACAACACAAGCAAATTAAGCTCTTATAAATTGGTGTGCATGAATAATTGTAGATAACACGTGAAGCCATGAGGGATGGTCAGTCGCTCGGTAGCAAAAAATTCAGAAGAAAAGGCACATTCTATCACTAATAATTTAATAACTTTGGATTCTTATGATGCAGCCAGCAATTACTTGGTGAAAAAAAAGAGAGGGTTATTTTAAGGCAGCTTCACTCATTTTAATGTCTTCTCGTTAGTTGATGCTCTCTGTACGGGCACAGCTGACACTTAGCCCCACCATTAGTGTTTTCATAATGCCAATGCCAATGCAAATACAAAACACCTACACTTACATATTGATATTTGAATAGATGCCTGCACGGATAAGCACTCTTGCATTATATATCAGACATCAGTCATTTCTTGTTTTATTATTACGTATCTCTTTTATTTCCCACTCTCTCTCTCTCTCTCCTTTATTTATTGTTTCAGGAGCTGAAGGCTTTTGCCAATTTAATAAACCACACCACACCACACTCTGTTCTCACCTTCTTCTTTACTTGTCGCTTTAACCAAAGCAATTTCTACCTCTCAATGGGAAAGAAAAAGGGAGGTACTTCATGGTTGAGTGCTGTTAAGAGGGCTTTCAGGTCACCAACTAAAGATAACAGCTGCGACAAAAAGGCAAAAATAGAGCATGAACTAGACGAAGATGAAGAAAAGGTAATGTATATATACTTGCTTAATCCTATATATATATATTTTTCCTGAACTAGAATCACATTGTTTTGTATATACAAAATCAATTTTTTTTCACTACTATAGAGAACCATTATGATCTTGAGTAATGAATATTTTCTACCCAACTATATAGAATCTTTAATTGGCGTTACTTGTACAGAAAAGAGAGAAGAGAAGGTGGTTATTCAGAAAACAGTCACAAAATGAAGGGAAAGTAATTGTTGATCCAAAGCATGCAACAGCAGCAGCAGCTGTGGCCACTGCTCAAGCAGCAGTTGAGATCATAAGGTTGACACGATCTTCCAATAATCCGTCTTCTAACAGGCAACACAATGCTGCTGTACTCATCCAAACAGCATTCAGAGGCTATCTGGTAACCTAATCATTCCAATCTTATGCCAATTACTTATCAATTCTTCTTTGAGCTTTTGACCATTTAATTAGTGTTACTGACAAGATTGTTAAGATACAAGTTACGTAGAAAAATTACTATTTTCACTAGATTTTGACTTGTGCTAAAGAAAATAAAACCAGAGAAAGCTGTTTTCGGCTATATATACTGCTCTTAAAATGCTGCTGCACCTGTGTCGGTTTGCACTACTTTTTGGATGATCCATTTTTGAAGAGTCTGAGCAATACGAGTTTTGTGATATTTAACTTCAGTTTCATTTCTATAAAATGGACAATGTTTTGGGACAAGTAAAAAAACTAAGTAGTAATAGCAATTTAGAAAGAAGAAAGTAGTGAGTTAGCACTTGCCACAACTAGTTGTTAATTCAGAGCAGACACTAGATAGCTTTAGATTTGGGACCATTTTCAATTGATCACAAGTCTTGCATTGGAGTGTTAAATATGTACAGATAGCTGTCATGTGAAGCAGTTGATTTATTGTTATTGCAGGCAAGGAGGGCACTAATTGCATTGAAGGGGATAGTGAAGCTTCAAGCATTAATAAGGGGTCAAAATGTACGAAAGCAAGCTAAGATGACACTGAAATGTATGCAAGCTCTGCTGAGGGTGCAGGCTCGGGTTCGTGAACAACGCGCTCGCCTTTCACATGATGGAGGCCGCAGGTCCATGTTTGCTGAAACAACCAATTTATGGGACTCTAAATATCTCCGTGACATCCGAGATAGGAAGTCCAGAGTGAGTTCTACTTTCCGCGCCTTAGTTACTGTGTGATAAACAGCACTCAGTAGCATCTCTGTCTCTAACACTCGTAATTTTTTGTACTCCGTGCAGTCTAGAGATGGAAGCTCAATTGCAGACGATTGTCCGAGATCACTTCTAGAGCTGGAATCAATGTTACAAGCCAGAAAAGAAGCCTCCTTCAAACGGGAAAAATCCCTTGCTCATGCTTTTACTCAACAGGTACAACTTTAATTTCTGTATCCCTTTAATTAATTCTATTTACATCCTTTCATGAACTGAAATACTTACTGTCTTTTACACATTCCAAAATCAAGGAATTGGATGAGATGGATGTTTGTAGTGAAGAAAGAAATGAAAGGGAACTAGAAGAGACAGCGAATTGGCTAGACGAGTGGATGTCATCAAAGCAATGGAACACCAGCAACAGAGGTTCATTTGACAGAAGAGACTCTATAAAGACTGTTGAGATGGACACGGCTAAGCCATATTCTAACATGGTTCCAAATGCTCGAAGATCACAACACTCGAGCCCACTTCACAGACAGGCTAGTAGTCCTCATTATATTGCTAATTCTCCCCATCACCAGAGATCATCACATTACAATTACTCGGCAATTCAACCACCAGCCACCCCGCCCCCTTGTCAACCAAAACCTCTTCAAATGCGCCCAACAAGCCCACGTAAAAGCCAATCAACTGCAAACACTCCATGCCTACGCTCTACGAGCCGTTCAAACAGTATAATGTCCCGGTATAGCACGTCAGGAAACGATGCATCAGTTCCTAACTATATGGCTGCCACTGAGTCTGCAAAAGCTCGGATTCGTTCACAAAGCACACCTAAACAAAGGCCTTCCACACCAGAAAGAGAAAGAGTTGGATCGGTGAAAAAACGCCTCTCTTACCCTATTCCTGAGCCATACTCGCTAAACGCTGCGTATGGCTACAGTCAGAACTTGAGAAGTCCTAGCTTCAAAAGTCTTCAAGCTGCCTATGTTGGGATGGAACAACAATCATGTTACACCGACAGCCTTGGTGGAGAAATTTCTCCTTGTTCAACCACAGATTTAAGGAGATGGTTAAGATGAGTAGTAATCAATTGAATAAAGATTACAGGAACCAAGCCATCTTTTGTGTCCTATTTTTCTTTAAGTTTAGCCAGGTGCTAGGTGAATGCTAGTCATAAATGATGTGTATTTCTTTGTTCATTTTCTCTAATGGTTCATTACCCTTCAGCTCATTTATTATGCACCTAGGAATCACATTTTCAAATCCAAACTAATAAGTAGAATATATAAAAACAGAGGGATCTAGCCTTCAGCATCAGGTGAGGCAATATTTTTCTTTACCGGTGGGTGAATGCCACCAATGAAGGAGAGAATATTGTTGTGAGGAGAAAATTAGTAGGAAGAAAGAAACAATGTTTAATGCGAGGGAACAGTTAAAATCTGTTGTAAATTAGATTCAGTTACTACAGACATAATTGAACTACATGACTGTAGAAAGGGATAACTAATGTCCTCAGATGTTGACATATTTAGTGAGATACTCTTCCTGCGCAAAATTTAATGACAAAATTAAATGATGGACCATTTTCAACCTGCACTAATCGTACCAAAAATAAATCAGAGGGGTTCACCTTGCCACAGGAATGCTCTCCATCACACTTATCATTTCAGTGATGCCCAAAGCTTACCCTCCCATCACCTATTCGAGGTTAAAGCCAGCCCAATAAACTCCTTTGGGCTTTGAACGTGTGCCAATTGTACCCACTACTCAGTTTTTACATTACTCCACTATTCAAGTCAACCACTAGTCGTCATCAAAAGCTTTGATCGGTGTGTGTTGGTTAATAGAAATTAGTTATTGTATTGTAAATCATCTATTTAATTTGGACTAACAATGGAATATATGAAATTAAGGTACCAGTACCGTATCATCGAATAGGAAGAAGAGAAATGAAATGACTTAAGCTTTAAATAAAATGAATATGAAATATCAAAGTTGAAATTGCTTTGATGCGTAAGACGTAAAGGCAGCATTGGGATACGCAGCGTAAGACATAGCGGCCTACTCAATACAACATTTTGACAAGTATGAACCTCTATTGGTGGAATTTGGGTTGTGTTTAAAACTTTTAATAACAAAAAGATTTGCCAAAGTTGGAAATGCGATGCGATCACAAAACATAAGTTATCAATCAAAACTACACTTGTCAGGTCAATAAGCTACTCAATTTAAACTCTTTTTTCCAGCTATATTCTCCATAACACAAGTTGAAGTTGTAATTCAAACTCTTTTTTTTCCCAAATAAAGTTCTACAATTCATCCAAAAAACTGTTACAACCCAACTACTAATATATTAGGTCCATATAAGCTATTATGGAAGCCCAAAGCTACGTTTTAAATATAAAAACTTATGCCTCAACTCATGTAAAATATTCATGGGTCACTAGCCACAAATACACAGAGCAATAACTCGGAGATGGATTGCTGCCTTCATCTTAACAAATGAATGCATTCAATTTCCTGTTAAAAGGATTGTGATGTTCAAATACAAATTAGTTCATTAGTCAGTTAACTAGTTAACACTGTTCATTAGTTAGTTAACACTGTTTGCACTAGTTAGTTAACGGATTAGTTGGTTGCTCAACTATGAACTGTCAATAATTAGTTAGTTTGTTATCTCAATTCCTAGCTATAAAAGCACAAGTTGAGAGTCACACTTTGTATGTTGTTGCAGTTAAACATCAATAAAATTCTCTCCTTTCTTCTTTCAGTTTTCTGTCTAAATTCATCAATGAACTGATGAGCTGATTTGCTCACAGTTTTCACATGGTATCAGAGCTCTGAGCAATCGATGTTGGTTGTGTATGAGCAGAAGTCTTAAACGAGAACAAAGTCTTCTTCTTTAATAATTTTTTCCTTTTGAGCATTCATCAATGGCGCCTAAAATCGATCAAAACGATCCTCTGTACATCGGACCATCAGACGCTTCAGGAGTTGTATTGATTCCCATAAAATTGACTGGATCAGAGAACTATGGGATTTGGAGCAAGTCGATGAGGATTGCACTTCTAGGGAAGAGAAAGTTTGATTTTGTGACTGGAGCTTGTACTAGAGGGTTGTACAAGGATGAGCTTCATGAAAAATGGGAAACATGTAATGTGATTGTATCATCCTGGCTGATGAACACTATTAGTGATGATCTACTCAGTGGAATCGTGTATGCAACTACTGCATTTTCAGTTTGGGCAGATTTGAAAGAGCGATTTGACAAGGTGAACTGAATGAGGATCTATCAGCTGCATAGGGAACTCACCACACTCACACAAGGTACAGATTCTGTATCACATTATTTCACTAAATTGAAGACATTATGGAGTGAATATGATGTTGTGGTACCAAATCCCTGTTGTACATGTCCTCAATCGAAAGATTATGCTGATCATTTGTAGCAACAGAGGTTAATTCAATTTTTAATTGGTTTAAATGACTCTTATGATCAAGCTAGGAGACAGATCTTGTTGAAGGGAACTACACCTGCCATTAATCATGCTTATGCTATGGTTATTGAAGATGAGATTCAACATTCATCAGATGTTGTTAATGTAGTAGAGAAACCAGAATCAATAGCACTTAATGTGAACAAAAATCAAGGAAGAGAGTATTACAAAGGGAAGAGGTGTGACTTTTGACATTTCACTGGTCACACTAAGGAGAATTGCTACAAGTTAATTGGTTACCCAGAGGATTGGAAGCAAATGAAAAAGTCAGGATCAGGCTATGGAAATGGCAACACACGCAGTACATCAAACTCTACCAGTGGAGGTGGTTATGGTAGACAGTCTTCTACTAACAATGTGAATTTGAGAAATGCAGGAAACTCTAATGACTATGGAGGACAAAACTCAACAAACAATGCATCTGGTAGCCATTGTGATTACTCTCAAGGGACTTTCACTAATCAAGATGAGAGCAGGGCTTTCTTGGCAAAAGGTCATGCATTCACAGACAATGAATACAAGCAGATACTAAACGTGTTAAACAAAGAAGGACATGACTCTAAGTAGGTCAACATGGCAGGAATAACTACTCGTTTAATGTCAAATAATTTCACTCAGGATTGGATCATAGATTCTAGTGCAACTCATCACATTATAGCAGACAATCGTTCACTCACAAAAAGTCAGGTGTTAGCTAAATCACAGAAGAACCAGGTACACTTGCCTACAGAAGACAAGGTAGACATTAGTCACATTGGTGAGGCATCTGTGTTTGGAGACAAGACAGTGAAAAATGTTCTACATGTTCCAGACTTCAAATTCAGCCTATTATCAGTTTCAAAAATCACAAGGGAATTATCTTGTTTTGTATCATTCTATCCTTATTTTTGTGTATTTCAGGACCTCTTCAGTGGCAAGGTGAAGGGGATTGGTAAAGAAGATGGAGGTTTATACATGTTCAAGGGTAAAATTCCACCACACAAGCAAGAAGTTACATGTTAGAAGAAAGTGATTACTGCAAGAGCAATAGTCAAAGATGTTGATCTGTGGCATAGGAGGCTTGGACATCCTTCTGTTCAAGGCCTGAAGATTTTAAAGCTAGTTCATAACAATAAAGACAGTGAAGTCCTTTCTAAATGTTCAATTTGTCCATTAGCTAAGCAAACTAGACTTGTATTCCCTATCAGTAGCTCTAGAGCATTTATAAGTTTTGATGTTGTTCACATGGATGTTTGGGGGCCCTATAAGACCCCTACTATGGATAAGAAACACTATTTTCTAACAATTGTAGATGACTATAGTAGGTTTGTATGGACCTACCTGTTGCAATTGAAATCTGAAACCATTATTGCCATCAAAAATTTCATATTAATGGTCAAGACTCAATTTGATTCTCATGTTAAAGTTGTGAGGTCTGATAATGGTACTGAGTTATTTAACTCTCAGAGCACAAAGTTATTTCAGGAGCTAGGCATTCTACACCAAAGTAGTATCCTCACACACCTCAACAAAATAGTGTGGTAGAGAGGAAACACAGACACATTCTCAACATTGCTAGAGCTATCGGATTCCAATCACATTTGCCTATTAGATTTTGGGGGTACTGTATTAAGGTTGTTGTCTACTTAATGAACAGGTTACCTTCATCTGCCATTGAGAACAAAAGTCCTTATGAAATGCTTTATGCCAAACAACCTTCTATCTCTCATTTAAGGACATTAAGATGTCTTCGGCATGCCTTAGTATTGCCAAAAGGTGATAAGTTTGCAGAAAGGTCTATCCCTGTTGTTCTCATAGGATATTCAGAGCTTCAAAAGGGATATATATTGCTGGACATTAAATACAATAAGATCTCTGTACATAGAGATGTGATTTTTTAGGAGGGTGTTTTCCCTTTTGCATAAGTGATGCCACAGATACAGCCACCATTCACTGTTTCTGACTCTCCTTTAGAGTTGGATACTACTCATACTGATACTGCTAGGGATCCTCATATTGAAGACAGTGTTGTGTTGGATAGTGAGGATGTTCAACATGATAGTGAGATTTCAGAAGAATTCACTTGTGAGAATTCTCCATTACAAGTTGTTTCTGATCAGACTCCTATTGTGCCTACAGATCCTCCCATGAGAAGGACCACCAGAAGCACTAAAGAGCCTACTTGGATGAAAGATTATACTACTGTTGGCAAGAAGAAAAGTAGTACCAGGCATCATTTGATTAATTCTCTATGTTATGACAGCTTAACACCATCTTATAGAGGCTATCTAAGTAAAATGTCTAATTCTATGGAGCCCAAACACTTCAGACAAGCAGTCAAAGATAATAGATGGATAGATGCCATGAAGCAAGAGATACAGGCTCTTGAAGATAACAAAACTTGGATGGTAGTTGATTTACCACCATGGATACATACAGTGGGCTCTAAATGGGTGTATAAGGTGAAATATAAAGCAAATGGTGAGGTGGAAAGGTTCAAGGCCAAGCTGGTTGCTAAAGGCTATAGTTAGCAAGAAGGATTGGACTATCATGATACTTTTCACCAGTTGCAAAGATGGTAACAGTTAGATGTGTGATGCTCTAGCAGTGTCTAAAGGTTGGAATCTCTATCAAATGGATGTCTACAATGCATTTCTCCAAGGTGATCTAGATGAGGAGGTATATATTGAGATGCCTGAAGGTTTCAGAAAGCCAGGGGAGACGAAAGTTTGCAAGTTACTTAAGTCATTATATGGGCTTAAACAAGCCTCTAGACAATGGAACTTAAAACTTACTATTGCCTTGTTATCTGCTGGTTTCAATCAGAGTGCACATGATTATTCTCTTTATACTCTTAAGAAAAATAAAGGACTTGTCATTATCCTAGTTTATGTTTGATGATTTATTAATCACAGGCAACAATGCTCAGATGATCACTGAAGCCAAGGAGAATCTACATCAACATTTCAAGTTAAAAGATCTAGGGGAGCTGAGATATTTTTTGGGAATTGAAGTGTTAAGATCCTCTAAGGGTGTTGTTTTGAATCAAAGAAAGTATGTTTTAGAACTTATTGCTGATGCAGGGCTCACTGGTGCTAAACCTGCTCTCACTTCTCTTGAATCAAACCTAAGACTCACCTCAGTGGAAAATGATTTGGTGAATGGGGTTACTGGAGATGAGATACTTTCATGACATCACAGCTTATCAGAGATTAGTTGGAAAGCTTCTTTATGCCAATATCACTAGACCTGACATTAGCTATGCAGTACAAACTCTCAGTCAGTTCATGCAATCTCCTAAAAGGTCACATTGGGAAGTAGCTACAAGAGTAGTAAGATACTTGAAGGGAACAATAGGCCAAGGTGTTTGGTTGCAAGCTAAACCTGCCACTATGTTAACTTGTTGGTGCGACTCTGATTGGGCTAGTTGTCCAAATACTAAAAGGTCTATTACAGGTTATGTGGTGAAGTTTGGTGATTCCTTGGTGTCTCTAGGAGCTCAGCTGAGGCCGAATACAGGAGCATGGCTTCAACTGTTTCTGAGATCACCTGGTTGTTGGGATTATTTACTGAGTTAGGAGTTCTTATTCAGGTGCATGTGACTCTTTTTAGTGACAGTAAGTCAGCCATTCAGCTTGCAGCTAATCCAGTCTTCCATGAAAGGACTAAGCATATTGCAATTGATTGCCATTTTATCAGAGACAAGATCAAAGCAGGGGTAATAGACACTGTACATGTTCCTACTCAACATCAAGTTGCAGACCTTTTGACCAAAGGATTGCCTCAAGCTCAACATTTGCATCTTCTCAGCAAGCTTGGTGTGCTTAATGTCATGCACCCTTCAGCTTGAGGGGGTGTGTTCAAATACAAATTAGTTCATTAGTCAGTTAACTAGTTAACACTGTTTGCATTAGTTAGTTAACGGATTAGTTGGTTGCTCAACTATGAGCTGTCAATAATTAGTTAGTTTGTTATCTCAATTCCTAGCTATAAAAGCACAAGTTGAGAGTCCCACTTTGTATGTTGTTGCAGTTAAACATCAATAAAATTCTCTCCTTTCTTCTTTCAGTTTTATGTCTAGATTCATCAATGAACTGATGAGCTGATTTTGCTCACAGTTTTCACACAACTCATTATTGTCATTTTCATGAAAAAACAGGAATAGTCAGTCAGTTTAAGAATGTACAATAACAATAACGCATGATCAATAGATACGTAGTCATGCCAAAATTCTCTAAGAGTAGATTGGGTTCAAGAATATTGGACATAACCGCTCTGAGATTGTGTATATATATGGAGAAGCAGCAATAGTAGCTAACGAACAGCAATGCATACCCAGTGAAAGAAACATAAAACTGAAATTGAACAAAAAGATGGAACTGTCAAGATGGACTTCACCATTTTGCAAGCTGCCAAGATTGCATGATCAACCGATGAAGTCAGGTCCGTGGCTACCGTTCTCGCAGGAACCAAAGCTGCAGCTGCTGGTAGCAGTGCTATTGCTATAGCCATGAGGTGAAGGTAAACTAGAGGCATTTCCAAGACACAATGCTTCACCCAAAGGCCCTCCCGGAGCTGTTGAACTCATCCAAGAAACAGGGTTAAGCCACTGGGATCTCAAAACATCATCGCCACTTCTCTCAGAATCCAACATCCCAATGCTTACTTGTGCATGTTCGTTATCATCATCCATTCCCCGATTCCAACCAGACATGGAAAGTGTTAGCGAAGTAAAAGAGCCATTGTTGCTAATACCATCACTAAGTCCGTCTTTTGGCCAAGCATTCCTAGTTGTTCCTCTGCCAATTATCGAGTTGTTGCCCTGTTCATTCTTTAATTGACTTCCCAATGCCTGGTCACTACTGCTATTACACATGTACTGATTAAAGTTCATTGGATATACTTTTGGCGCGTCTTGCACTTGAAATGCAGGTGAATTTCTTCTGTTTTGGTCATTGTTGAATCCCATTCCAGAAGATGAGTGCATGAGTTGCTGGTTACAAGTATTAACGACAGGGATGGTTCTACTTGTGTCTCCTCTCCCTAACCACTCAATACACCTTTCATAAAAGCAGAGAAAACCAATGAATTCGACAAGGAACAAAAAGGCCATAAAAGACTAGTAGACCCACTCCTCAAGATAAGAAGAAAAAGTTAACAGTATTTACATGGAAGATGAAACTTGAAATTACCCACCTGGGGCTGGTTTGGTCACCGGAAGGAGCAGAGAGCTGCACAGTCGGAAACTGAAAAGAGTGGCTGTTGTTGTTAGATTTGGGAATAGGAGGGTGCCGATTGGTGTGAATTTCCACAGGCTTTCTTGAACGGGGTTTGCTTTTGTGGGCATGTCGCTCACAATATTTCTGATCCGGAGTTACATCTCTTGAGCATCTCCATTTCTTCCCGTCTGTTCTCTTACACCTCCATGGCTCTGGATCCGACCCACTTGAGAACTTCAAATCTAAACCCGTTGCTAATCACACATAACCAACAAAATTTAGATATCAAAAAAACAAAAAACAAAAATGACTAAAACAAACTCAAAAGGGAATATTTACTGTTAGATTGAGCTGGAGATGGGTTAGTAGGGAGTAGGTGGGGAGGAACAGGCATAGATGCCATTATGTACTTGCATATTATGAACTGTCTTTGAAACTCCTGCAGCTGGGAGGCTGTAAAAGGAGCGAGGCCCATGCTTCCTCCTGCAAAACAAAAAACACTTGTGCAACTAACTCATCAAAAATGAAAAGAAAAACAGAGGAATAAAGTTTAAAAGGTTGGGGAACCGTACTAGCACAAGGTCTTGACGAAAGTGCGCTCACAACATCGCTCCCCACAAAATTTCCGGGTCCACTACCGCCATCATCACCAGTCTCTTTCTCGTAAGGAGAAAAAAAGTGGGGATGAGAAGAAGGGGCCATGAACATGGTCCTTTTATAAGGGTACGAAGCTTCACTAGTCTTCATCTTCAAATCCAGAAACTCAGTGTTTTCTCCGTTCCCCATATTAGCCCCAATTCCAAACAACAAAATCAACTCCAAAATGTGTAAAGGCTAGAGCCAAAGCTGAAAGACTACTACTAGTAAGTATTTTGTTTCATATATATGTCCAGATTACAGAGGCGGTTCAAGATTTGTTAGATTGGCCCGCCATTTTACAGATATTTGCTTCCTATACTTACAACATTCTAACCCCGTTGTGGGACAATTTAAGTAGGGTCCCCAAATGACGTCAAAATAATACTCCTACTGAGTAACATTTTTCTTCGTGTCTTATCATTTGTATAGTCTATCAATATTGTGATGGTTAGATAGATTATCACATTATTTAATCTAATAACCGTAATTTAAATTAGAGTAGTCTTTTATTGAAAGAGGGTTAGACATTGTGCGCAAGTGGAGGTTTCTAATTCCATAACAAGAATTTTAGTTGCAAAAAGAAAATCACATGAAACAATTTGGAAGTGGCCTACATTATTCCTATCTCGCAAGACAACTACATACTGTTTACGACGCAATTTTTAATAGAGCCTTGTACAGTTTTAAAGTTGAGAATTAAAGACATTCCATCTGTCGTAAAATATTTGTACCTTTTTACTATTTCCAAATTTTTTATCAAATAAATATTGACCAGCTCCATCCTAATTGTTGAAAGTTTAATAGGAAACTTACCTAAATTTTACTAGCTTAGGAATTAATTACTTAGATACACATTAATTAGTTGTTAGTTTGTAATATTATAGATCTTAATATATCAAGATACATATATTTATTGTTATTCGCATATTTAGACAAATCTTACATGCTTTTTCACTATTTTAGTGTATTTAATAGACATATTTGAATTGAAATTTAATACAAAATTATTAATTAACGAGACAAAAGTCAATGCAATTTTGAGATACGTGTAAACCGGTGCTTTCGAAATATACAATTGATTGACCAGAGAGTGGAAGGGTTAAAAAAGAACAGATTAGACATGAAAGAGGGAGGAAATTAGTGTAAAGTACAAGTAGTAAAAGAGTCAACGGGGAAAAAGAGTAAAATAAAGAGAGTAGTTGGAGGGAAAGGAAGTAGGCGTCGGCGTGGTTTGATTCATTGAGGGTGACGGTGACAACAAATATATATTAAGTATTTATTCTTTTCGTTCATTTTAGTTTATTATATTACGTTTTTTTAAAGTTAATTTGATTAATTTTTAAAATCAAATTAAATTACATTAATTGATATTTTTAAAATATAAATATTTAAAAACTAGATGAAAATTACTATAAATTGCAATCTTTACATATCAATATATCAAAAAATTTATAGAATCATGACAATTAAAAATAGACGACTCAGTATAATCAATGGTATGCTTTTTCTTATAGTATTGGGAAACGTAATTTTTGAGGTCCACTGACCCCTTAGATGAGGTGGGGACCAACATATGTCCACCTCAACAGTTTGTGTTATTGCATTTTAAGTCCCATCTTTTTTGAGTTATTGCATTTCATCTCATCCTCTTCCTCTTGCAATGGTCCAAAGAGTCCATCTAATGATTCAGATTGCGTTTGAATTGTACTACAGTATTAGTTTTCTCTGATATGTTGTCTCTAATTAATTCTTTCTCACGATGTGGATTAATAGAATCTGTATTATAGTATTCGAAATCGCATGCCATTACTGGTAATGGTACAATCCTTATGAAATAAGAAAAAAAGTAGTTTAAGTGGATACAAAAATACAAACTTAGGTAAAAGACAAACAGAAAACAAAACGAATACGCGTGGTACTGGTGTTGCACTTGTTATGAATGGGCCTAGACAAATATTCACAAAGCAGCCCAAAATAGGATTAAGTGGCTATGTGTGGGATCCGGGTTGATAAATAGAGACTTGGGAGAGCAAAATAGGATTATGCAAATTGTTGAGAAAATATCCAAGTCCTCTCATCCCCTTTCTATGAGTTCTTCTTCCCATCCCTTTCTTGTACTTGTGTTCTTCCATTTCTATTTAGTTCTTAAATTCCCTTGTAATTTCAATTACTATTTAGTGAAATAGACTTGTTGGTTGTTTGAATTTGAATTGAGTGGTCTTGTTATTGGGTTTGTTACATTGATGCTTTCATTGATTTGTCTAACATGGTGGACAATTCACTCACCTCCCTCAAAGAATCTATCAGTGCATTCCGCCAACAGTTCGATTTAATCCAGTCGTCTCCTGTTCTGACCCATTTAACTCCATCTTGTTCCTGTGTACCGAATTCAGTCTCTCTTCCACGATTTAGTGGTGATAACCCTACAGTCTGGGTTCTTCAGGCGGAGAAGTATTTCGTCTTCCATAACATTTTATCTGAGCATAAATTGTCATTGGCTTCATTCTATTTTGACGGTGAGGCTTTGGAATGGTATCGATGGTTGTTTCGTAACAAACAACTGGCTGGCTGGGACCATTTTGTGGACAAATTGCTGATTCATTTTCGCTCCCGTCCTAGAGACAAACAACGCGAGTTCTTACCCATTCCCAGAAACAAGAATCACAGGGCAGTGGACTACTCTCAGGTGGACTTGAATGAACACTCAAACCGCAACAACCATAGCCTAGCACCCACAGTGTTCAAGGAGATGTCGGATAAGGAAACTAATGTTGAAACTATGGGGTTACCAGCGATCCAGGTATGTCATCTTGCCGAACAGGATAACACCTCCACTTCACTTGAAATTCAATACGATGTCCTTGCTGGAAATTCTGAGGTAGACCACATGTTCGATAAAATGCTCGAGAAGAAAATTGACATGGAAGTCGAACATCCAGTAATAAATGATTCAGCAAATCTGGCATCCCATATGTTTGACGAAATTTTTCAAACGGTTTCTACATTTAAGGGAGAGTACGGCGACCTCCTCATGTTTGATGATAATTTTCTTGCACTACCTTGTTGGACGTCGGTTTTTAGTCGCACCCAACTTAGGGGTAGATCTATATTTGATTACTTCAGGGAATTCAATCATGCTAACCTCCCATTATCGTTGTATCGATTTCCACCTGATCAATTTGAGTTCAGCTTTCCGTTTGATCCTGGTTCTAGTTTGCTCCCCGTATTTTTTGCTCTGCAAACTATTATTTACGCATGGTTGTGGATGTTTTCAAGGAGATCTTTAGGATATGCACATGTCATATCAACCTTCTTTGATGATGCACTAATCGTTGATGACCAGTGACGTCTTTGATGATGCACTAGTCGTTGCTTTATATCATAATATTCTAGATGTTGCTGGCCAAATTCACAGAGACAGAAGTGCACAAATCCTTCAGGGGATGAACATCCTGAACTGCATTTGGAATCTGTCCAAATTGGTGGTTTCAATTAATGACACTAAGAATGTGGATACACCATTGGTGTCACAAAGGGCTATATTGCACCAAAAGGGCATACGAAGTTGCTAGTGAGTGTTATATCATATATCTACAATGTTGAGATTATGTTCTTTGAGTCACTTTATCTCCAAAAAAACTGAAGGTTGGAGTTTCCCTGTGATAATTAGGAGCACTGTACTGCTCATTGGTAAAGTTGTAGAGAACTGCCTACACCTGCTTCTAAGTTGCTAATGTTACTGTGTATAGCTTCCTTAATAGCTCCAATGAGAATCCTCACAATGATATCAATTTTGTACTAGCTACTTGAACCTTGAGGACAAGGTTCTTATTGGGGTCGAAGGTATTGTTATGAATGGGCCTAGACAAATATTCACAAAGCAGCCCAAAATAGGATTAAGTGGCTATGTGTGGGATCCGGGTTGATAAATAGAGACTTGGGAGAGCAAAATAGGATTATGCAAATTGTTGAGAAAATATCCAAGTCCTCTCATCCCCTTTCTATGAGTTCTTCTTCCCATCCCTTTCTTGTACTTGTGTTCTTCCATTTCTATTTAGTTCTTAAATTCCCTTGTAATTTCAATTACTATTTAGTGAAATAGACTTGTTGGTTGTTTGAATTTGAATTGAGTGGTCTTGTTATTGGGTTTGTTACAGCACTTGTAAACGAAAATGGTAATTATAAAATCATATATAGGTAAATAGGGTAATGCCATACCAAGTGGATGTTAAGTTTGATTACTTATTTAACATCTCCAATGTAATCTCTTCAACCACTTATCATATCTTCAAATTTTTAACTCTTTTTTTCTTTCTAACGATGTTGTTGTTGAGCATTCTTGGTTGATTAGGCTACCTTGTGTTGTGATCTGCTGATTTTTCACTTTACAATTTCGTTTTAATTTTTCTTCCACTTGATTTTGCGTTATTCAATTTTAATTTCCTGAATAAATGCCATCCAATTTGATTTGATTGAATAATTTTCATTTGAATGACGACAAAAGAATAACTATTATGATAAAAATGAGAAGCGGTATGTAAAATCTTTTAAATACTTTTTTCAGATTCAATTCAGGTGATTGAATTAATGGACACTAGTCACACTACCGAGTACCGATAAGATGGCGAGATAGTCAAAACAAGTCAACAAGAATAAATTTGTACATCTGATATCAATAATCAAAATGAAATATAGATACATATTATTTTAATGTTGGTTGATTTTTTACTGATCATGTACCAAGAATGAAATGTATTATACATCAACATAATGTATAGTATTAAATAATTCAATTTTTTTCAATTAAATACCAAATAAAGTAGAAAATGATAATAAAAAATCGAAACATATTGAAGTTAGATTGTCATTATATTAGATTATCAGTGATAATTTAGCTTGTGTTATGATTTATTTGCAGTTTATTAGGATGGGCGCTCGACTTGCAAATATTATTATGATTTATGACAAAGCTTGGAGTAGTTAGCCAGAATATGAGCCAAAATATAAAAGGCCCAAACACATAAGTTTAGGAGACCCGGCCCAATAAGGATCAAATTAGTTTGAGTTCATAATTGTAGGATATTTATTTTAGAGTGTAAATGTAAATACTGAAAACAATTGTGATATAAGATTGAGAAGCTCATCACATATTTTGGTCCCAAGAGAAGTGTATTTCTTAATTCCAGAAATTGCACCAACTAAAACAATAGTGTTGGTAATGATGCTTGTGGGTGGGGAGCGCTTCTTGCTTTTGCTTTTGTTTATTTAATGATGAAACTAACAATGGCTTATCTGGAATGTCCCAACTTTCCTCCTATGATAATATTATATTATGAATGACGATTCAAGTCGTATTGTTTGTTTTTATCCAATACATCTCTTGGGAAGGTAAATTATGAGCCATTTTCTGTTGTAAATAGTATATGGATGAATCATTAGTTCCAATAATTGTAGTATGGATTTTCATCAAATCCCTATCCATGTAACCATAATCATACCATTTCCAAGTGAATTAGATCATAAAAAACAACCTAGAGAAATTATACATTTACAAATTACAATATCACAAAACTCACAAAAACAAAATAGATTCTCTAGGCCTAACAGAAAATTCAATCAAGGCTTAAACAAAGAAAGAAAATGGCACTACAAACTAACTTTATGGTATTACCATTCAATTGGATGAGTAATAGTATCTTTGGATGAACCATATGGAATAACAATCCAAAGTTAAAAACTTTATTATGAGGTTGTTAGAAGAACATTGGATCGGATAGGACACTTTTGTTTCAGTAATATCCTAAGTTGAGCCTTTTGGCACTCCAACTTCGTACCCCAATGTCTGCTTTTGGAACTAATAGCTCTGACAACCTTTGGGAATTCGACAAATCCTTTGATCCCTCGTTTGATGTGTGGATTTTCAGCTTCTTGTGAATGGTTTCTTCGATGAATCGTCACTTGGTACTGATGAAAATTAGAACCACAAATAGACTTGTGATCAGGCCTACTTGTTCCTGTTTCATCAGCGTTATAGTTGTTGTTGATGTTTTCTTCAATCTTCTGCTCTGTTTGTAACATTTTCTTGGTTGCTTCCAATTCCAACAACTTGTCTTCCAATAAATATTTAGCCTCTGTTAGCTTCATTTGAACTCTTTCCTCCCTCATAACCTCAGCCACCCGCATCATTTTCCTCTCCTCTTCCATATCTTTTCTCAACCGATTCATCTCTGCTTTATCCGACGATATATGATTGGCAAGTTCTTCGCATACTCGTTCCAACGCTTCTCTCCCTTTTTTCTCTTCAGAGAGCTCTCTAGCAATCTTCTTATTCATCCACTCCAACTTCTTACGCGCCTTGCGCTCATGTTCTACTTTTGCCTTCAATTCAGCGACTTGGGCTCGAGCAATCTCCAGCTCAGAGTCCATAAAGGGCCTGATAAAGGTGAGATCCCAAAAGGATGCTGCAATTTTCCTAGCAGATATTGGGAGATTGAGTCGATGAATTTGCTTATTATTGTTGTTGTGCTGAATTCGGAGAGGAGTGTATTGTTGAAGAGGATTTTGTGAATTATAGAAAGGGTTTTCGTATAGTTTCCAGGTTGGACATGTAGAAGTAGGGATAATGTGATCATCTGAGATACCAATAGACTTATTTCTGAGATTTTCTTGGCTTCTGATCATCATCATCATCCTCTTGATGACAAGGTGGGGGAGTTTCTTGCTTTTATAATAAACACCTTTGCTGCTTGCTTTTCTAATCAACTTTCTTGCTTTTGCTTTTAAGAAAAAAAAAAATAGGAGTAGGGCCATGATGTTCTATCTTCTTGTCCTTCCAGCTACTCTAAATTTCAAAAAGTGGAAAAAGATGTTCAACCTCACATGTACCTCTACTATTTAATTAATAGAGGTGCCCAACTCCCTCGCCCTCCTCCATCGACATCAATCTCTTCCATTTTATATCTTCTTCAACATGTTGAGATTAAAATTATTTCAATATAGCTTATGACATGGAAGAATTTGGTGGTAGCAAGTTGTGATGTTTCTCATCTTAATTAGAAATCAGAGTAAAAAAGACTGCATATCCCAAGAACCATAGGATGCTTCGCTTTGACGATACTGTTAGCGAAATGAGTTACGTCAGTTGCAATCATGTTCCATCATTAACAATTTTCAATTCATATCTGCCTATAAATTATAATTGCGTTACTATTACATAACAAAGAAAAGTACTACGATTTTCATTAAGAGTGCTCAAAATATAAAGAACTAACATCTAGATACTTTATAAAGTAACACTTCATTTTGATCTTGTATATATAGCGTAATTTTTTGACAAAAAAGGACTGGATGAAACCCTTCCCTTACCTCCACCAATGAGTGTGAGATGGATACATGAGCATTTTTATCTTGGTCAAGTGGGCATGCAAGGAAGGGGCAATGTCATGATTATGCTAAGAGTATTTAAAATTTAATATAAATGAAATAAAAGTAGTAATATTTGCACGAAATAATTTTGAGGTGTTTAACTGACCATCATTTGACATACATAACTACTACTTTGATGTAGGGTAATTTTGTGTAATCCAACTAAGGATGCTCTGTCCTATAGAGCTTTTAGCAAGAAAAAGGTAAAGTCATATGGTTATAGTGAGTGAGGGGTCCAAATAGTTACGTTGTCTTATGATAGTACAAATTGTTCCACATGGATGGTCTCCCTTTGTGTTTCCTCTTCATTCTGTCGTCTTCCTTCATTAGGATTTGGCTCTATCACACCAATACTTAGGCAATAAACTTCTTACCACGTGCTGATGTATTCTGCAACTCCATAACACAGCAACTTTGTGGAGGGGCAATGGAAAATATAGTCCAAAACGGATACTGATCATCATAATATAAAGCAGTTCGATTAATGGACCACTAAAATACTGCAGTAGCAATAATTGGTGCTAATTAGATTGAAGAAAAAGAGTGATTATGACTTTTCTTTCTATAAAGTTATTATAACCCAAAAATGTACCTAGAAATGATATCTATGATCAAATGTTAGCAGGGATATGATATCTATTTTAGGTATTCTTGTTAACATAATGAAGTGGAGAAATGAACAAGGCTATAAATAACAAAGAAGATTGGGACCCTTAACATACCACACTTACTTCTACAGTAAGGGATTAGGATATGTTCCCTAAAGCAATTCAATGTTCATCTCCACAAAAGTACTACAACAAAATAAGAGGTCAATTTCATATTTTAATATGTAACACACAGAACAGAACAGACTCTTCTAAGCACGATGGCCATCTAGATTACATTTGAAGCAATGTGTTGATGAACAAACAGATTATAGACTTTCATCAGTGCTTATCCATATGAAAGCGATAGTTGAACAACAACTATCAAGTGATTGCCATCCAAATTCCCAAGTCTATCCTTGTGGAGGCACACATCAAACTACATTTAATAAACTCATGAAATCATCAATCATTATCCATTGAGTTTATAATGGTCATCTTCCAGTAGTATTGAAAATTTTGGTGTTGATTTAACAGTTAAACTAATCTAAGGGGTACTGTAACAAGGATAAGATTAAATTCTATATACACGAGCTTCTGCTCATACGCTCTAGAAAAGTAGAGTTACATGTGTAGCATCGTACAGGAACAAGTTCTATAGTCGAAATGAACATGAAAATAATCCAACAATTGAACAGTTCATTCACAGAAATACCATTTCGCTTCTTGAATCCGGGAGACATTAGTTTAGTTGATGGAGAAATATTGGAAACCAGAGAATCAAAAATATTGTGGCCTCAATAGTTATCCTCAATCCAGACTCAACTTTATAGTTGGCAACTTAAAGCATGCATTAGTGATTCTAATTGCAGGTGATATTCATTTTCCCAAGATAAATTGCATTTTTCGAGTGTTGCATACCTCTTAGTTACTGATATGTGATTCTACAAGAAATTCATTCTAATTGCATTTACCCCTGGTTTCAGGTAGATTGCTGAGTATTCAATTTGGAACAAAGTGAATAATAAGTCTGGAAATTCATATCAAGCATTTTAAGGGTCGAACCAAGAATTCCTCTTGCTTACATGCATAGAAGGAAAATAAACACCTAAATTAGAATATTTAGTGCAACTTTCATTTTACAATTATCTTGAGCTACCAAGGGACCATACTGATTTCTTGATCCTCATCTTCTGCTACAAGACTTAGTTAATAAATGTGACTCCATCCACATCCACTACTACTTTGGTGTGGATTCTGCAGATAAGAAAGCAAGGGCCCCAACTAGTGGTGCATTAATGTATGTAGCAGGCTCCGATTGCTGATAATTGTTCCTGTCATCTTCAAAGTTATCTCTACTGTCAGGACCACCCACGATGGCTCCAACGAGAACGTTTGGATTAGGCGACCCCGAGTTCAAAGACTGGAAGCCATCATTGCAGCCAATGTGACCAGGATGTGCATGCACTGATGGTAGAGATGAACCTCTATGGTGCACACGAAGTGGATACTTCTGTCCAAAACCAACCATGTACGATATTTTTGCTGGATTATCTCCTAATATGTAGTCCACTTGTTTCTTTCCAAGCTCAACGAGCCTCTCTGCAGGAAATCTTGAACTCCCACATGACACAGCCCCTCCATTTGACCTCAAGTATTTGGCATAGGTTAATAGGAGAAACGATGAAGATGTCACGTATTGGAGATTACTTTCACTTCCTTTGTATAAAAGGCCCCCTGTATACATATGTCTCGGACTTTAATACGTGCATAGGCGGATCCAAAATTTAAACTAAACTCATTCTAATTTTGATATTATAGTTTCACTACTTCATATGTCCCAATTTATGTACTGACCTGGGGTATACTGAGCTTGAAAGCTAGGTGAGCCTGGAATCAAAGAGCAGATATAGTTGTCTGAGTGAACTTTGTATGCTTGGAATTCTTGAGTACTCTTCTCCAAAAAGTCCTGTGTAAAACAGGGGAAAGAAGCAGAGGAGTGAGTGAGTTTATGGCTAAAAAAGTTCAAGTTGAAAGGAGTGTAGAAGGAGGAAAAAAGGAACCTTTGATAGAATAATTTTGGTTCCAGGTCTCTTGTCATCCCAACTGAAGGAGTAATCATCATCATTAGCACCCATAGTTTGACCATTTGATTGGATATAAGCAAGATAAGAAGAGTCTTTTGAAGCTCTATGAAGCCATGATGCTCCCCATAGAAGTTCATCCTGAATATTTTATAATGTCAAATTAACCATCGATCGATGAGATAAGTGTGTGTGTGTATTCACTCTAATATTAAGTAACGTTTCGTCTTACATTGTAACCAGAATAAGAGCAGTAAAATGGGCAGACCACTGAACTGAGACTGTCGCTATAGGAACCTCTATACTTGTCCGCAAAAGCAAACACCTGCAATATTGCAAATGTGGGATGGATAAAAAAAAACAAAATGTATAGGGCTAAATTTGCTTAATTAATTACTCCACCTTTTGTGCAGTACGCAATAATGTAGAGGAATAAGAAGGGTCAGAATCTTTGAACACAATAGAGGCAGCAGCCAATGCAGCAGCAGTCTCAGCAGCAACATCAGAACCTGGATTTTGAGGGGACACTTTGTACACGTTGCGAGGGGTATCCATGTCCTCGGGTCTCTCCCAACACCTGTGATCTTGGTTCGGGTCTCCTACTTGAACGTATAACGTGTCGGGGCTAGCTGTGGCTGCTTTAAGAAGATAATCGGTACTCCAACGAATAGCTGCTTTTGCATTGTTAAGTTGGCTATGCATGGAGCTCCCGAATTCGATTACACTCCATGCTAGTAGAGTTGTGGTGAAGGCCATTGGCAATCCAAACTTAACATTGTCCCCTGCATCATAATATCCTCCTACTAGATCAACCTATAACAATAACAAAAACAAAAAGAGAGTTGGTCATTGTGTTGATAAAAGTTAATTACTTGTGTCATATATACTAAAAAATAGGAAGATACATATAAGTTATGTATATTTGAGAATTACATGGTAACCGGAACCATCAGACAAGCCAGAATCAGCCCTCCACTTAAGGCGTTGATTCGCAGGCAATTTTCCGGACCTCTGTCCCTCAAAGAAACGAATGGATTTGTCAAGAGCATTAGAGTAATCTTGAGAAGTGAAGGCAAAGGCAAAATTATTAGAAAGATTAAGTAAGAGGAAGAAGGTGAAGCATAAAATGAGCATGTTTCTAGTAGCATGAGCCATTTCTCAGCTTCACTTAATAAGTGAAGGTGCTTGTAAGTTTTTTATTTTTATTGGAGGGAAGAGCGAGCCTGTTTATATAGTTGGTAGTTGAAGAGTTCGTTGGTCGTTGCAGAGCTTATTATTTTATTTAAAATAATAATAAGTGGTAGAATCATAGTTTAATTCACGGGATCAACTGCGACAAATAAGACGAATTTATTGCACGAAAAGAGTTAAAAAGAGGCTTATCTGCTTTGACAGAAAGTCAATAACGACAAGAAAAAGACTGTTCAATCTCGTGATTAAAAAACATTGTTTCGTTCCCCTATTACACTTCAATTGGACATTATGGAATTTTGTCTCTTCTTTTTAGGTAGACTTTGAATATACTTTACTATGTTGATTAACATACCACAATTCACGGCGACGATAAAAATGTGACTTAGCAACTACTATACGCCCTAAAAGTTCATCTTATAATTAGTATGGACATTAAACCACATTCACAAATCACAATGTTTTAACAACTCAACCTCCCAATCTAAACACCCTAGGGCCGTTTAGTTAGCAAGATAATTAAGGTGTGAGATTAATTTTTTTTTTACTTTTCCCGAGTCTCAGAATATCTACGTACCCCATATAAAAAAGATGAATTATAATCGATCAGGACAACATGTACTGCCCATCTTATAAAACTTCAATTCTACATGCTCTATCTGCAAAATCTCAGTACACCATCCTCGAATTAAAACACCTAGTTAAGCGTGATTCCTTAAGAGGAAAACGTACTCATGGGTAGGAAAGAACCAAAATGGATACTTTGTCAGAAAGAGTGTTGGAACGTTGTTTTGGCGTTTTAGTTTTGTAATTTTCCTGTCACGAGACTTTGTTCAACAAGACTTCCTTCCATTCACGTGGTGTGCACAGGACTTACAAGCATACATATATCACTTTGGGAAAAAATTAAATAAAATACACAAAAGGTTTGGCTACAAAAGTTTGGCATAACCTCTACATTCATGTTATTCATGCATGTGACCAATTTTATTGCTAAAAAAAATCATTTACAAGTAAGTCTCTGAAATATTTATCTCTCTCACATGCTTTTCCTCATCTCTTGGGACCTTCTTCTATACCCTCACACAAGTTTTTCTATACAATTCTGGTTTACATTTAGGTTAGCACGTGCATACTTTGATTATTTCACGTGATGCCTCTCCTATTTTGATAGTACGACCTTATAATTTTAACTCACTTCAAAATTGACTATTTCACACTTCTAAATGAAAGTTATCCTGAGATTACAGATGTCCAGTAAGTTTTTTCACTAGCAGCTGTTTAGCTAATTAAAAATAATCATTAATTTTTAAGGGACGTACAAAATTCAAAATAGTTATATTTGAATTGATCGAAAAGGTCAAAAGTAATCATCAATCTTATATACAGTGGCTTTGTATTATATTTGTTTAACAAGAAAGTGTTAGGCGAGAAACCATGTGGCTGATTATCTTATTTGTCAACTAAAAACCTGAATTAACAGGAAAATGTGGAGGCTCATCCACCCACTAAAACTATTTTTTTTATTTGAAGAAGAAAATAATAATGAATCTATATATTATTAAAATTTTATATGAATCCCCGTGTTTCATTTAATTAAAGACAGACTAGTCCTGCTTCATTTCTGCTGCTTTTTACAGATGTTGTGCCAATTTAGAGAAAGACAATATCAGAGACCAATTATAGTATACACTTGTTTCATCTTTTCCATAGTAAAATAACGTACTATCTACTAACTTTAACATACTACGTAATTTGTAAAGTAATAAACAATTAAATATTACAATACCATAGTAAGGAGAATAAAAACATTATTAGTGGCAAGATCTTCCATTCACTTTATATATAAATTAATTTATGATGACAAAAAATCTTAACGCCGATCTCATAAACAAAAGCTTAATGCATTTTCTTGAACAACCTTCCATTAGGTAGGAATTCAAGGGGACATTGATCTTTACTCTTTAGTACAAGTTTTGAGATTATTGTACACGTCCATCACACGTTAATTTTCTCACCATATTTTAAGTTTTATTTTTTCTTCAAAGAAAAGTCAAAGTATCACCAAAAATCCTTAAACTTTTTTCTGAAAGAAAAAATATACTGTAATTCTCTTCCATTTTTAGTTTATTCTTTCCTTAGAAGAAAAGTTTGGAATTCTATAAATTGGAGACCCATCTTCTCATATCAAGAACACAATAAAATCAACAATGTAGTTGTTTAAAGAGTTTTGTTTATGGAGAGATTTTCTCCCAACATATTTATGTTTTTCAATATTAGTTTTATAGTATGTAGGCCAATTGACCAGATCATATAATAAAATTATATTTTTAGTATAATTTTTTGCCATCTAATTTATTATCATTTTGATTTGCAATTATAAACTTTCACATGACGCCTCAAATCATTTTCAAAACCAACAAAATAAGGTGTACTTGTGTATATATTAACGTGGAACAGAGACTCCCCATGCGGCTCTTCTTTAAACTTTTCACGTGTATGAATATTTTGACTCTAGTATCGTGTCAAAGAAATTGATAAAACTCAGGAAATAGATGTAGTAGAGTAATATTTTAGATGTGTTATATGTTTGTAGAGGCTGGTTTGCCCGAGAGGTTAAGGGGGAAGACTTAAGATCTTCTGCACATAAGTGCGCATGGGTTCGAACCCCATAGCCAGCAATTCTCATTTTAGTTTCTTTTTGCTGATATAACTAACCATTTTTATGACTTACAAAAGTCAAAAGCTCTTGGATGTTAACACCAACTATTTCAATTAAAACCTCAAGGCATGTTCAAATATGTTTCCCCAACGAAACGTGGCGTGCCCTTTCTAAGTAACTCACGCAAGATTGGTGTTTCCAAGAAAGAGGAACAACCTAACACTGATGACATTTATTTATCCAATAGTGAAACAATCCATTAGAGGAATAGAAACGGGTCAGAGGAAGCATCAAATATATGAGGTACAAGTTTATCACCTCGGCTCCACTTTCTGAAATATAAAAGTGACAAATGTAAAACAGTGAACTTCCAAAGGCAGCAATAATCTACCATTTAGCAAAAAAGTTATCCAGAACCACCAACAATCATCATTGTATCCAAATAATTGTCTGCTGAAAAATTAGTCTTCAAGCTTTCATCTTATTAAGGAAGGAGAGTTCATAAACTTAAAAGAGTCAAAGTTGACTTTAAGTTCTCATTACCACCTCGGGAAAATGTGACTTTTGACCCATCATATAGCAAAACAAAAGAAAAAACTCAACTTCATTTAGCAAGTCATGAAATACATCACAATGGAATCAGAACAACAACTAGAACCTATGGAATCTATTTTGATGCCTCCATTGGAAACCTCTTAAAACAATCTACTCAGTAGCTTCCACGTGTTTCGCGGCATCAGCTTCTTTCAGCCTTTCCAAAGCAGAAATGCGTCCATTTAGAGATTCATAGACATCATTCATCTGGATAAAAGAAAAGAGTGAATAGCATGCAGATAACAGAGAGATTCCAGCTGAGGTAACATGTTGAAGTTCAGATGAAGGAAAAGATGCTTGAAGAAATTGCTCTTTTAGTCCATATTGATTAATCACCAAGTTTCATTTTGGCCTGTCAAAATAGTATTGTATCTTTTCATCTTTTCAATTTCCCATATTTACAAAAGAGTTTCATGGCTTGTCATCTTTTGGCAGCAATACATAAGGCTTAACAAAGGAACATGAGAAAGAGAAAATTCTCAACTTATACTCCATCCATCCCAATTTAAGTGTCTTAGTTTGACTGAACACAAAGTTGAAGAAATAATGGGAGAATTTTTAACCTTGTGGTCTTAAACTTGCCATGTCGAATGTTGTAATTGGTAAACTTGCTAAATATAGAAAAGAGACACTCTTTTTGGGACAAACCAAAAAGAAAAGTAAGACACTTAAATATAGAAAAGAGGGCTTCAGCAACTATTTACAGCAACATTTCATAGACCTATGGAACATGATGAATGATTGATTTCATAGGTATAAAGTTGATGCTAGAAAAATTATCATCTTTCTTCTATTTAGTGTTCAAGAAAACGCGAGAATAATAAATAGATCATTTAATATAAATTGCAAGATTTTAAGGGTCAAGCTACAGTTTAGTTGCAACCACAAAAACTTAACCACCCTCGATGTTCACACCCAACCAATGAAATGTAAGACATATATCCATTATATAAGGATTTATAACTTAACCATGATTAAGTAATATGTATCCTCACATTTTGTATCTCTTAAAGTTAAATTGCTTAGTGTTGGTTCAAATTACCATCTTTTACCATAACTTCTGCACTTATTTTGGGCATTAAACTTTCACAATGCTCTTGACCATTGAAATGATCCTTACTAGACCTACTAGGGTTAGAAATGGAGAACAAGGAGAAAAAGAGATATCCTATGAAGTTAAGAATTAGTAGTTAACTTTGGGGCAAAGGGATGTGAAATTAAGAAAACAAGAATAAAACCTCGAAAACAAGTTATGAAAGTTTATCTGCAAATTAACATTAGTGATTGTAAAAGAAAGTGGCCAAAGGAATTCAATAAATGGTCACATTTGTAAAAGAAATAAAAATAAAAATAAAAATAATACTCCCTCCGTTTCACAAAGAATGACCTCCTTTCCTTTTTAGTCAGTTTCAAAAAAATGACCTCTTTCCTTTTTTGGTAACATTTTACTTTTTGCTTTCCACGTGGCATGTTTAAGACCACAAGATTAAGGGCAATTTTTTACATTTGACATAACTTTAATTTAGGACCACAAGATTCAAAAGTCTTCTTTAATTTCTTAAACTTTGTGCCAAGTCAAACCGGATCAATCTTTTTGAAACGGAGGGAGTAATATATTTATAGATATATCATAAAAAAGGAATCCTGTTCCTGCTCTCTTCATTCTTTCCTCTTAAGTTTTAGCTACCACTAGCTAATTTTGCATTTCCACTCTTTACCATACTAATTTGATGCTACTCCATACTGATCATGCCTGCATCATGTCATTATATACCACCATAATCCTTAAAGTATCAACTGATCTTAATTCCATAATGACTTATTCAATCTCCTTTCTGTTATTGTTGGGATCCTAACTAAAATTTGTTGTACCCCTTCTACTAAACCAGCTAAAATGACTAATTTAATTTCCTGTTTGTTACTGTTAAGATCCTAACTAAAATCTGTTGTCTCCATGCTACTAAATCATCCAAGAATAAGTCTCTTCATGCATCACCAACTTTGGTACTTGCCTTGAAGCACCATTATCTCCACCCTAGGTAAAGAGCCTTAGTGCCATTGCCACTTGAACAATTGAATGAAGCCGCCAGTATTAAAAAAGATAACCATTATAAGATGGTCCATATTTAAGGATGTCAAACATATCAACAGTAATAGTCTTGCTGTGACAGCCATGGTAATTGATTTATATAACATTCTGACTTAGAAATGAAAACTACATTTTGGAGTAAGTTATAGATAATTTGCTAACGTTACCACTAAAAAGGGCACTGGTTCACCAATTACACATAGATTACTCTAGCTAGAATTTGAAAAACATATTCCATTTGGGACCAATATGCTCCAGGCCACTAGCTATCTTACATCAAGCTACAACTAAATACAGAACCCGTAACTGTTACCAATAATGGAGAGGCTAAGCAGAAAGCACTTGAAAGCTTAATATGTTGACTGGCCAGGGATTCTGTTCAGCAACACTTGGGTAATGTAGAAAATTTGAACCTAATTACTTTGTCAAAAGAAAAATTACAAATATGCAATTTAAGTAGAGAAGGGTAAAGGTAAAAGGGCAGCCCATAGCAAAATTTGAAGTCCCCAAAACAAGAAAAAAAATACTATTTCAATCGATTGAGTCCACCTTAATCCCAAACTAGTTGAAATTCAGAAAGTGGATGGAAGATTAAAAGGAACCTGTTGAGACATGGAATGATGGGCGGTTTGGTAATCCTTGTGGAGAAGGTAGAGACCGCCGGCCGATGCCACCGCAGCACCGGCGAAGAAGGCTGCAAATCTCACCCTTAGAACGTATCCCATTTTTCTGAATCTGCACCTCTTTACGATTTTGGTATTTAGGGAAAGTGAAACGATCTTCGTCTTTGCCGTCTCCACTTATACTTTCTTTTTCATAAATAAACAGATTAAGTGCCAAATTTGTTTATTGCATATAATACAAATTTAAAAAAAAAAAAAAAAGATAATACAAAAGTAGAGGTAAATATAGTGCATTGACTTTTATTTTTTTTCACTCAAATTAATAAGGAGGGGGAGGAAGAAATTACTACTCAAATTATTATATAACTTATTAAGTTTATAGATATCAATAATGTAAAAAGAAAATCACAGGACGGTATAATGATTTTTAGTCAACAGCTGATGTAGTTTGTCGTGTAAAATTAATTTGAAGAATACTTCAAATAGAATGCCAATATTAAATTGGGAAAATTGTGCATAATGACAAACTATTAATTGAAAATAAATAATATAGCTACTGTTTCATTTATTTTCTTTGAGTAGCTACAGTTTCGCATATCTTGCTACTGACGGATCCCACAAATTAAAAAAAAACAACAGAAGTCTTTTCCTTTATACAATTCACTTCATCTCTTTCCTCTCTCCCATATCCTTCAATTTCTCCTAAATTCTCTCCACAAAATCAGTTTGAATTTCAAATATTTACTACTACGCTCTCAATCGCGATTTCAAAAATTTCAGGTACCGCCAAAACCTCTAAATCAATTTTTTTTTCCAATTTTTTCCTTATTTCTTTAACTTTCATATGAAATCATAATCCATACAGATTTTTCACTTATACAATGGATGAACATTTTTCTTGGGTCTAACTCAGAATTTTGAAGAGGTTGCAGGTTCAATAGCCAAATCCAGATAAATTAAAGACATCATATCCAAATTTAAGAATGACCCAATGAGATTGGGTGAAATTAGTGCAAAATCAAAGCAATCTGAAATTGTTGAGGGAGGTGACAAAGACCAGTACGATGCTAGTTCAAGTAAGAAGAGGAAAGGAAAAGCAATTGTATATTAACCATTAGGTTAATATACAAACTTATTGTATAAAGCAATTGTATATTAGAATTTGTTCTGGCTCATTGGAGCAAGATGAACATGAAGAAGTTCAGGTATTTGTATAATCATTAATTTGTATATGTTACGATTGTATATTAGTCTTATATTTTCTCTGTAAATTTTTGCCCTATATCTGTTTGTTTATACAGATATGTACATCCATTAGATTTAATATACAAACTTATTGTATAAATAGCAGTAGTTATTATAACAATTTTACCATATATACAATATTAACAATTATACAATTGAAATGTTTTGTATAATATATAATATCCATATAAAACATGTTTATGTTATATTTCAGATAAAGTTAGTGTTATACAAAATGACTATATGTACTTTTTTATATGTTTATTTATACAGATATGTATTTTTTTTAGCCATTAGGTTTAATATACAACCTTTCTCCATTAATAGAAGTACAATAATCTCACTGTATATACAATATAAACGATTATACAATTGAAATGTGTTGTATAATGTATAATCTTATTTATAAAACTTGTATAGGATAAATTGAATTAAATCTTATTTTATACAATTCGCTAACTGTATTTGTGTCATATTTATACACAATAAGTCATAGTTATGTATATATGTATATTTGAGTAAAACTGTATATGTATTATTTTTCAGGGTATTAAATTTCTAGGCAAACTTGTACGCAATTATAATGAAGTCACTACTGATGAAGAAGTCGTAGAAGGAAAGAGATCTTTTTGCGTGAGTTTAGCGATTGCCTTCCTTTTTTGTAACAGAATTTATAACCTTTTATTAAATTTATTTAGAAAATAAAATTGTATATAGCTTCGAATGAATCCTGAAATATACAGATTAATAGCTCCATAGCAAACACAAAATTTGCTATGAAGCACAATTATACAAACTATAGTTATAAGTTACAAATATGATTTTTATGTTTGCTATATGTGAAAGTTGCTCTATTAAATTTCACTTCTTTCTCACAATATAATGATTTTGCTACTCTTAAGAAATATTAATACTTGGGCTTAATATCTTGGATTTGGACTAGTAAAGGCCCACTTGAGGAGGTCTTTCCAATCCAATAAAGAGCCCAGTTTGTCCAAGTCACAGACAAGGGAAAATTATTTATAGGAAAATTGTATAAAATTGCAACTATTAATTCAAATTGAATGCTCTAACCATAGCTTCATTCAATTTTAATCTATAGCAAACTGTTTGCCAGTCACCTCTTCCAGCGAATTTCGCTCGCCTCGCCTCTCTCACTTTATACAAACACAAATGTATAAATTGTGTTTCTGTTTGTATAAAGCGAGAGAAAATTGTATATACAAATACATATATTTTCGTCTTATCTATATATATATTACCTTAAAAGCATGAACTCCTAACTTGAATGTTAAATTACTAAAATATCCCTAACTTAGATTGTGACTTTTTCGATGTGTTGTGACTTTTCTGATAAGTTGTGACTTTTTTCAAAGGGTTGTGATTTGTCGATGAGTTGTGACTTTTCCAAAGAGTTGCAACTTTTCCAAAGATTTGAGACTTTTTCAAAAAATTGTGACTTTTTCGATAAGTTGTGACTTTTCGAAAGGGTTGTGACTTCTCGGAAAGGTCATGACTTTTCAGATAAGACACAAAATACACTTGTTCATACTACCCTTTGTTGACTATAAATAGAAGGGTTTCATCTCATTTTGAACCACAATTATTTTTAAATCTTCTACTCTTCTTCTTCTTGCATTTTAAAAATTTTCGTGTGATTTATTGTCGTTGAGTGAGTTCGAAGTTTAGCGGAATATGAGGTACCACCATTCTGATGAAGTAAATTGTTCTATCCTAAGAGGTAAATTCCTTAACCTCGAGTACTTGAGGAAAATAATTGTGATGATATAATAATTATTTTTTTGCTTAGTATATACATTAGTATGTAATGTTTCAATATATGAAGTTAACATGATGTAGTCTAAATTCATTTGCTTTTTTTAACAATTTCTCTTGTGATGTAGATATATGTTTCTGAATATCTTTTTAAAAAATTATTAAAATTATAAAGAGTTAGAGAATTATCACGATTTATTTTTGTGATGCTCAAGACAAAATAATGAGTTTATTTATCAATGCTACTTATATGATTTAGATTGTCAGGAAGTTTGCTTCAAAATAGTTATTGCTATATAAAAATTGCCGTTTTGTTTTACTGATTTACTATTTCTTAATATTTAAGTACTTTCGACGAAGAAAAGTTTATATGACTTGTAATAACGCCAGTTGAAGTTTCTATTAGTTTAATTTTTATTGTAGTCTAAATTCATTTGTTTTTGTCAACAATTTCACTTATGATGGAGATATATGCTTCTGGATATCTTTTTCCAAAATTATTAAACTTCTCAAGAGTTAGTGAATTGTCACGATTTGCTTTTTAGATGCCCAAGACAAAAGAGTTACTTTATTTATCAATGTTACTTATGTGATTTATATTGTCTGGAAGTTTGCTTCAAAATAGTTATTATTATATAAACATTGCCCTTTTGTTTTACTGATTTACTATTTCTTAATATTTCAGTATTTTCGACGAAGAAATGTTCATATGACTTGTAATAATGCTAGTAGAAATTTGTATTAGTTTAATTTTTATTGTAGTCTAAATTCATTTGTTTTTGT